GGCATGATCGGCTTGCCAGGTGCACTATTTATCATTACTCTCGTCGACGAGGTGGAAAGGAGGCCACACATCCATGCTCGCCACCGGCTCCCGAATCCAAATCTTCCGAGCACCTCTAGCAGAAAAGGCCATTTTACCGTATCAAACGCCTTGGTAATATCAAGCTTGAGCATGATTGATGGTTGCCGGAGTGCGTGAAGCCGCCTCGCTGTGCACTGCACAAACTTAAAGTTGTCATGCAATGATCTTCCATGTACAAACGCTCTTCGGTGTTGTCCGACAAGTCTTGGCAGATCCTCCGCAAGCCTCAAGGCGAGGGATTTATCAAAAATCTTGATGGCGCTATGCACTAAGCTCACGGGCCTGAAATCTTTGATGTCCACCGCCCATTCACGTTTTGGTAGTAACGATATCGGCGCCTTATTGATCACCGCTAGCCCACGCATGTCACCTCGGTGGAAATTGGTCGAGTGCCCGCATGAGGTCCATTTTTATGATCTGCCAGCAGGAGGCGTAGAAGCGCCCGGCAAAGCCGCCCGGGCATGGTGCCTTGTCGAGCGGCATGGCCTTGATGGTTTTCTCTACCTCCTCCATAGTGATCTGAGCTTCGAGATGGGATAGGTCATACGAGGGCAGGTCTAGAAGATCAAGGTTGATGGAGGCTGCTCTTGCTGTTGAATCACCCAACAAAGCATCATAGTACGTATCCACCGTAGCAGAAATATCATCCTGACCAGTTATGATCTCGCCCTGGTGCTGCAGGCTCAAAATGGCATTCTTCCGCTGCCTATAGCTTGCATGCTTGTGGAAGAAGCCCGTGTTCGCATCCCCCTCCTTCAAGAAGAGAAGCCGAGACCACTGACGAGCGATGGTTCACTCGAGAGAGCATAAGCCGAGAAGTTTCTTCTTCAACACTTTCCGCAGGCCATGCTCCAGGGCCGTGAGTGCACGCTTGACGGGAGTTGCCTCAAGTAGGATACTTAGGTTGGTCGTAGTGTTGAATATATGAGCAAATTACTACGAGGTTTAATCCGAATAAGCACTAAACAAAATCATGACATTAATAACAGAGACTAAACTAATCATGCGGACTAGCATAGCAGATGAACAGATCGAATCTAGGGCACAGACTAGAACCATGAATTCTACGACGATCTCAAACAAGAAAAACAGAATCACATAAGGTGCAACGAGAGCGGCACTATTGGCGTTGATGTTGTCGCCCATGTCATTGAGGAAGAGGTTGCCGAGGTCGGGGAAGAAGTTGTTGTTGGCGAAGTCGTCGCGTGAGTGTGCTCCCAAAAAACTTGATCGCCCCTCTCCCGTACAGGATCACGAGAGGCGGGGTTCCGGAGGCCTGCTCTCCCTTCTCGCGGTGCATGCCGAAAGGAGGGGTGGAGAAGACTTGCATGGCAGCGCAATGATCTAGAACGGTGGTGCGAAACCATACGATGCGGGCGGCTAGGGTAGATGTCTGCCTGACTATATAATGCGAGTCGGTTAGGTCGTGGAGAAAACCCCACATCCAAGTAACAGCCCCACGATCCAAAAGAATCGAAAACGGCTGAGTAATTAACACGTCCATTTATTAGCTTTGGCTTTGTTTGGCATTTTTGTGTCTTTTCGTCAATTTTTCTTAGGTGTGCTCGGCTCGACTGCCACGAGCGTCTGCCACGTGCCCTTCTGAAGGCAAAAGTAAAAGACAATTAGTGATATTTCTAGGCCTCCCTGTGTTTGGGGCGGCGACCTTGAAGATCACTTGACAATGAGATCAAGGGGCGTGAAAGCACATCTACAAACGCATCGTCGTATCTGCAGGCACGGCGGCGGCGGTCGTGTATGGTACTGACGATCACTCGTGAAGCAAAGTGGATTGTTGTTTAATGTGAGGGAAGCTGCCATCGCACGAGGAGGTTAGTGGCGCATGTGGCGCGTCTGGCGCTGATGTGCAAAGGGCGCACCGGCGGTTCCTCGGCGGCATCTTGCGCCAGAGCAATGACTCCTATGGTATGGTGGATGTGAGAGAATATCATGTGCTCTGGGAGCACCTGAGCTTAGCTGCTCTGGTGCGAGCTTTGCCGTTGGATTTAGATCACGGTCATCTAAAGGTGCGCAGGACCTAGCCGTAATTACCAGATCCAACGGTCATCTAAAGATGTGTGGGGCCTAGCCGTAATTACCAGACTCCTTAGGGCCTTTTTGCAAAATGTGTGAGCTCTGTCCCTGGACGTTGGATCTGAGATCGAAGGGCTGAGGTGCTCCCGAAGCACCTAAGCTCATGTGCTCCCGAAGCACCAGATATTTCTCCTGGTGGATTTTACAATGTGCTTCTATCTGTGTGGATTGGCAGCGGTCAGTTCTGCGCCGAGACATGGGCCACCCCTTAATGGTCGTGGTGATGATATAAGTCGGGATAATGACCCACCAATCCATTAGTGTCTTTTCGGCTTGGCATGGGGCATTGGCGGATGCAACTATTGAATGGTCTTTATCAAGATCCTGATTGAAACACCACTTCATGTCTCAAGGGAAAATTCTTGTAACGTCCTTTATTGGTCGAAGTAAGCAGCGGCAAATTTGCGTTGTTATTTTGTTGAAGGCATCGTCTATATGATGTTCTTCTTGTCTGCATTGGGCGATTGCGGCAACCGGGATGAAAATCTTTGAACAGGCCACCTTCAGCAGGACGTGGCAAAATGACGGCGGGAGAACATTTATCCCTTCTTGAAGATGTTGTTGCAGAAGAAGTCGACTAAGTCATAGTTGTTTATTTCATATGTTGTAATTGTTCGATCATGGTTGTATTTGTTTTGTACTCTAATTAACAATTAATAAAAATGATTATCTGCATCACAATGATGCAGAGGCTGGAGTTTAACCTCCTTTTAAAAAAAATGGAAGTTTCTACATTTTTCATTGCTTTTATAGAATCACATGAAAAAACATGTCCTCTTTTATTTTTGTTTGCAATTATGTAGAACCATAACTATTAGAATATTTTGTACTTATATGGTTTGGTTGATTTGAATGGTTGTTTTTATTATGTAGCAATAATGGTTACCTCATTTATAAAAAATCTACAAGAAAGTCGGGAGGGTAATTAATCCAATAGAACCATTGAAGCCTTAGGCCTTGTACAATGCAATGTGCATATGGAGGTACTTAACAAAATAAACCGAGTTTTCTTAAGCACTAGTGCTTACCTCTATCAGAGGGGTGCCTACTTAAGTGTTCACCCTCTACAAATAAGCATCGATGCTTAAAAACTGATTTATTTCTTGAAGTATTTTTCTTAAACACCTTGCATTGTATAAAACCTTACTATACTAACTAACTTATGTGATGCGGCGCCTACTTCGGTCGGACCGTTCTCTAAGGTGGCCTTGTAAATTATGTTGCCAATTGATAACAATCTTAATATATTGTTATCGTATGTCCCCTCTATTATCCACCATCTAATATAGCTTGCATCACTTCGCACAGCCTAAACATATGAGTAATCAGCTACATCCAGCGCAGAAATCAAGGTTAAAACCATGACACAAAACAAGAGGATCCGTTGTTGAAGCTTCGCTTACCGCATTGATAATTTCATAAAGCCACAAGACATGTTCCATACGTTGTGCCGTCAATGCATTTTGTATGACATTATTTGTTCAAGTTCTTTCTAAATTTCGTTTCCTCTTCCCCTCCACCACACTAACACCAAGGAAAACCGTTTTAAATAAATTATTAAATTTTGCCACCATTTTCAAACACCATACCTGGAGTTGGTGTTTAACTACGGAGTAAGCTATATTAGTTCTTAACTTTCTATTATGCTGAAGTAAACGCTCTTGATGAGATTGACTTTATTCCATATGATAAGTCAATCTCATCAAGAAAATTATATTGTGAACTAATTTTATGCCAAAATATTTTCTAGACAAATTTATCATCCCATTCTGGAGTCGTCATTCATAAGACCATTCTCCTTTGAAATAATAGTATTGCGTCTTTGATTGGCAATTTACCTGTTTGACCAAGAAAGCACCCAATTTTTTCAAACAGAAAAGTCTATCCTGAATCTAACCTTGAACTACGATGCTTGGTCCGACCTCAACCTTACAATATGGAATTACTTTATCTTTTATTAGTATAGGATGAATTTTGAAAATTATGAACTTTGATTCAACTCTTTTTTGGTTAATGATTTTAAAATTTTGCCTTCCATTTTCTATTGTAAAGTTACTTCCTCTATTCCAATGTATAAGACGTGCACGGATATCGAAATTTAACTTTGACAATATTAGAGCAATGATATGTATTTTTGTGACTTAAAAAAATATACCGTTAAAACTTCTTTTGAATATGAATTCTGTGGTGTAATTTTTGTTACATATAATCCACATCTAGTTGGTCAAATATATAGTCGAAGATGAATTTTGGGATACGCTGAAATTGAGGGAGGAACATAAACGTAATGCTCAATTGTATCTTGCAAATGTACATCCAAAATTCTGATTCTACACGTAGTAAAAACCACCCCGAACAGGCACCTTTCAAGGAATAAGCGGGTAGCTATCTCAAAAACAATCAACAACTCAAAAAAATCATGGGTGAATTAACTGACTTCCATTGAAATCCAGTGACTCTGTTTTTCATTTCAGCCAGGGGACTTAAATGTCCACTAATATTTGATTTTGGGATCCAAACCAATATTTTGAAGAAACAAACAGATGATAGAGAATTATTTGAAGTTGTATGCGCCACCAAGATTACTGAAGTATTTTGGAAGAACCAAAACTGATGATATTCCCGAAATTTCATTGAAATTGCGCACTGAAAGCGGAAACTAGCCACACAACACTCTCGGACACCACACGAGCAGAGATAGAAAAAACAGACACATCACGCATCATGGGAAACTCACTCCCTAATCATCGATCACTACCCACTCAACTTCGATCAGGCGTGCAGGCAAAGGACCTTCTCTCTGGTTCGGTCGTCCCATCCATCTCTCAGGCGACCTGGACCTGGATGGTCTTGGGCTTCTTGGGCTCGGGCGGCGGCAGCTTCTCCACGGAGACGGTGAGCACGCCGTCGCGGCACACGGCGGAGACCTTCTCCATGTCAGCATTCTCGGGGAGCACGAACTTGCGCATCAGCTTGCCCATGCGGCGCTCCATCCGCAGGTACTTGGCGTCCTCCTTCTCCTCCCTCCGGCGCTCGCCGCTGATGACCAGCACCCGCTCGTCCTCCACCTGCACCTTGATGTCGCCGGACGCGAGCCCCGGCACGTCCACCACGAACGCGTACGCGCCCGGCAGCTCCTTCACGTCGGCGGGGGTGGCCGCCATGGCGCGCGCGTCGCGGACGTAGGCGCGCGTCGGGCCCTGCTTCTCGCCGCCGGCGTTTCCGGCCCCGCCGGCCTCGCCGTCCGGGATGTCCAGCAGGTGCTGCAGCGCCGCCATCAGCGGGGTCTCCAGCCCGAACATCCTGGCCTCCATTCTCGCTCGCTGCTGATCTCCGAGCTCGATCGATCGGTCTCCTCCGATTGGACTGCGTTGGATCGCTTGCTGATTTTGTGGAATGCCTCGGTGATGATGCGACGGGGGGCGGAGGGAGTTTATATCGGTGGCCGGAGGCGGGGAGTCTGGATTCTGGAAGGTGACGGAAACTTCTGAAACGTGGTGGTACGCGCGGGATGCGGCAACGCGGAAAGTTCTAGAGCTCCCGTGGGGACTCCATCAACGGTCTTTCTTTAGGAAAAAATGGATGTTGAATGGCTGGTTTGGCGGGCCAGGTGTGTAAGGGCATCTCCAGCCGTTGGCCCTCCAGGAGAGGCAAAAAACCGCCTCCTGAGGACGCACCGGCGCTAAACCGCGCACTAGGGGCGTGATGCCCCCCAGTCGCGGCGCCCACGGTTAGTCAAAAAAATCAAACACGGCACAAAAATGACTCAAATTTAACGCAAACATCGGCGAGTTCATTCAAACTTAAACATATTTTACAAAAAAAAAACTACGCGGGCTATCCCCGCCGTCTCCCTCGCCGCCCGCCCACGCGGTTCTACATGCCGAGGAGGCGGTAGAACCGCGTGTAGTCACCGCCGTCGTCGTCGTCACCGCCTCCGCCGTCCCTACTGCATTCCTCCCCCGGTTGGCGCGTCGGGTTGGACGGTCCGGGGGCGTCGTCGTCGTCGTCGCTGTCGAGGACCACGACGCCGTGCTCGTCCTCGCGCCCACGCTTGCGGGCGGCGATCTCCTCCAGGGCCCGGTGCTGCCGGACCATCTCGTCGCGGAGGTAGTCGTCCCGCGCCCACCGCATGGCGTCCTCGTCGGAGAAGCCGCGCCGGGCTATCTCCTCGTACTCCGCGGGGAGGACGGGCTCCGGCTTGGGCTCGGCGAGGACGAAGCGGCCGGTTGGTGGAGAGGCGTTGGCGCCGCCGGAGCTGCGGGTGCGCGCGCTGATCGGCGTGTCCTGGGGCTCCGGCTTGACAGGGCGGAGGCAGGGCGAGCCGCCGGACGAGGAAGAGGACCCTCCGGTCTCCATGCGCCTCGGGGTCCATGAGCTTCCCCGGCGGCGTGAGAAGGAAGGAGGAGCGGGGTACTCCAGGCGTGGCGTGTTGCCGCCCTCGATGTGCTCGAGGACAGCCTCCAACGTGCGCCCGGGCACGCCCCACCACAGACGCCGGCCGGTGGCGTTGAGCCTGCCGGAGGGCACGACGCCGTTGGTGGCCTCGAGCTGCTCGGCCTGACGGCGGCGGAAGTACGGTTCCCAGAGCGGGCTGTCGGGGGCGTACCGTGGCGCCTACCTCGCCGCACGCGGCAGGTTCGAGCGGATGCGTGCGATCTCCGCACGCCGTGCCGCGTCGGTCGGCACCGGGGGCACCGGTACGCCGCCCGCGCTGATCCTCCACGTCCCGGGCACCCGCATGTCCGGCAGGACCGGGTACTCGGCCTCGTAAAGGAGGCGAGCCTCGTCTTCGTGAAGATGGCGGCGGCCGAAGCCGTTCGCCGCCGCGCCGTCGTCTGGGAAGCGCTCGGCCATGGCTGTGAACTGGGGATGGCGAAAGAGAGGAGAGGAGAGGGAGGAAACGACGGCGGCGGGAGAGCGTGAGTCGCCGAGTGCGTCGGGGCGCTTCATATATAGGCCAAGGCGCGCGTGTCACCGTGTGTACGCGTGGCGGGGCGAGGGAGGGCGAGGGACGCGCGTCGTCCGGTCTTCACTGCGCCGCCCATGAGGCATCAATGGTGCAGGCTGACCGGCGCGGCAGCGCGGCAGCTTTGGCATTGATTCGCTGCGGGAAACGAGGCGATGAGGACGACGAAGGGCCGAGAAGAGAGCCGTGTCGCTGACGCGGGGGGCCCGCGGCTTTTTCGCGCCAAAACAGTTCGCCCGGCGCCCCCGGTCGCCCCCCAGCGCGCCGGGTTCGGGCTGGGTCCGCCGGCGCTGTTTTCGGCCCAAGCCGGCGAAAATCAGGCTCCTGGGGCGTGACTGGGCCGTTTTTTCAGCGCCGGCGCGAAAAAAACGTCTGGGAAGGTCTTCCTGGGGCGCGGCTGGAGATGCCCTAAGCTGTCGTGACAAGTGTCTCGCTTCTGGAGCGGATAGGAGTAGAGATAGTATTTATTAAGCTCTGTGCTTTTCCTTTCGCTCTTTCCTTTGGAAAGATATCCGCTCTCCAGAAACTTCTACAATCCTCCGGTGCCTACTGGTTTGTGGCGATTTCAGGGGCTGTGAGAGTAACAAAGATGTGCAGTGACAAGGATTTAGCATCTGGGCAAGACAATGCTCCACGCTGTTCGTGTATACAAACAATAAAAGCACAAACAAAATTATTTTATTATAGATGCCGTGGTAAGATCTCAATTGTTCCTTTCTCTTTTAAAAAAGATTATCAAAATTGTAAGCCGAAAAGCACAAAAAATGGTGAAAACAAAGTCACTGATATTTACAGGTTACAGGATCAAATATCTCAGGAGCGATTACCGTGGTAAGCCTGCGCCGACTTCGCGGTGCTGCGCCCTCTGAATCCAACCACGCTCAACTTACTTCCCACCTTATTCAGAGCATCCCCCTTCCCGCCTTCCGGCCTGGTTCTGCTGCTCTTCCCGACCTTCTCGCCGCCCTTGCTGCTACCAGCCCTCACCGGCTTGGCCTTTCTGGCCTCTGCCGGCCTGGCCTTCGGCGGGTTCTTAGACGGTGAGTGCTTCCTGGACGAAGATGGCTGGCTCTTGGTCGACGACCGCTTTCTGGTTGAAGTTGTGTCCTTGATGGCGACCTTTGGCGGCCTTCTCGACAGTGTGACTCCCCTTTTGTTACCCTTCTGGCTAGCAACCCTCGGAGCATCTGAACTCCTTGCCGACCTTGCAGAAGTCCTTCCTTTGGTGCTTGGGTTTTGAGAGTTAGCGGAATCCCTCCTGACATTGCTAGTCGTCAGCGATTCTAAGCTCTCGTTTTTCTTCATGGCGTCTTCGATCCTTGTCGCTAAACCCACATCTTTCTTTGCGATAAGGCTTGTAACTTTCCCTGCATCAGGTGGGAAATGACAATACGTGAGTATCAACATGAAAGGTGGAAACACGTAGTACCTGCTTCTTTACCCAAAGACTACCCAGTTACAAGTACAGTCCACAAATCTGTCAGATTGCTACAAATAACATATCTTTGTTTGATCATCTCCCATCATCTCATTTCTAAACCAAATTTACATAATACATACCAATCAGAAGTTCCTAACTACTGCCATCTCTTTTCTAGAATTGCAAATCATGATTAGACTCTGCTAGTATTAACATCATTAGTATCTCTTATCCAGGTCAAGAGCATGCATGCAACTTGTATTCATATGTAAGGTAAAGAAGAGATCATAATGTATGCAGTATTGCAGTGCAATACGTGATCAAGGTGCTGACAGAAAGTGTCTATGTGTCTGTTACAGCAAACAAGTGATTAATACCTTTGGCTCCCATACGCGCCGTTCTCCCTGTTCTGTGGAGATAATCAATCTGTAATGCCAAAATTTATTAGAATAAGAATCCTTGAGGTCTTTGTGAATTTATTCACAGCAGAAATTAAAGGAATATGCAATTAACACGTACAGAGTTTTTTGGGAAGTCAAACATGATGACATGGTCAACCTCCAAGTCTAGTCCTCTAGCTGCCAGATCAGTGCAGACTAATGTTGGGCAATCCCCCTCTTCATTCCGGAACTTGTTTAGGTTCTCAACTCTACAGACAGTTAAAGCTAGAAACGGTCAGCATAATTCAATTAAAGTTTTGTGAATTTTCTTCTTTTGTGGATAGCTTGGTAAATACGGAGTAGTTATTAGCAGCCTGATCAAGCTATAAAAAGATCATAAGAATAGTAACCACCTAACACACATTCTTATCGCAAAAAGAAATACCCACACATTAGTTCATAAAATAAAGCAGTTTGTATACTACCACCATACTTTACAGTTTACATAGAAATGTGTTCGCCCTGAATCAAATTTTGTGCCTCACTGGCCATAACAGTGAACATAACTTATGACGAAATTCACCTATACAAAATTAGGCACACTCTGATCTTGTGCTTCTATGATGTATGTGTGGTGATGTATTTACTGAAAAAGATAAATATCATAAAGCATGATAGGCACATAATTAGGCAGTCAGGCCAGTGACTAACATGGTCTTGAAAATTTCCAATCAAATGACTGTACTCACTTCATCTCCTTTTAAGGTGGAAAAACGAAATTGGGAGTGGGACAGTTAACGAGTTACATTAGATCTATCCTCTACATTTTATTAAAAAAAATACGTATTTCATAAGGCAGGAACATGTTAGGCAACTGACAGACCTCTCCTCCGCAGGGACTTCTCCATGGTAGTTAACAGTAGATATATGATTTTCTGTTAGAAAATGGTCCACTGCACGACTTGAATTCAAAGTGTTGCAAAACACCATAACTTTGTTTCCTTTTGCTAAGCTTGGCTCAAGAACCTGCAAGAACAAAATCCTTCAGTATCCCGTGCATTTGGCATAATAGAGAGCAAGGAGTTGCCATCAAGTGTACACTACAGTTTTCGGAGCAAAAATTCAGTAACTGGAGAACGTGAAGACATGAGATCTTGTAAGATAATTTTCAAACAAAATGCACATCACAGGTCTGTTTATCTTAAATCCTGTTTTGGGCTTTTGGCGATGTCCTTTGTGTGCCTTTTGAACATTAACCCAAATGTAAAAGCCACAGATGCCATTACAAAGTGTGCTTTGAATTTGCATAAAGAAATTATTTTTCTGAGTTGATCTATGGAAATTGAGTTTATAGGGCAGGATTAACTCGTGAGGATGAGGCTGACGCTTAAACAAGAGAGGGCACAGCAAAATGAACGAACAATCCTATTAGTTACTTGCTTGCTTCGACACCCCCTATTAGTTGCTTGCTTCGCCACCCCCTATGGGTTTCCGTCGTACCAAGTTCCTCATCTCTAGGACTCGTAACTGAGTACAGCTCATTAA